TCTCCAGGAGTGAAAGGTGGCAAGTTTGTGGTTATGATTAAAAGTGATGAAGAGATGATGACTAGAGATCCCTGCTCCAAGCTCAACTGTGGAGGTCCCCAAAGAGGAACATGTTTTCGGATGGTAGACACCTTTGTAGCGATGTGTGAGTGCAAGCTACCGTACTATGGTAAAAACTGTGAGCAGAACTTAGAGGATTATAAGAGAGCCTTAGAGAGCGCCACTGATGAAGCTTTACAGGGAAATCCCAAGCCAGTGATGATTGACAGGAGAAGAAGATATGGCTAATGATTCAGACTGGGGTCAAGAAATTTCATGAAATGAGCTCCTTGTCTTCAACAGACCCTCCAACATTGTGTTCGGTCTTTAACTTCTCACCTGAAATTCGGACTGAATGTACGTTTAGTTTCCCCCTTGTTGCTCAGTGTTAAACAGCCTACTTGTTAGCCTAGTTGTAAGTAGTTGCTGTAAACACAATCTTTAGTTATCCTGGAACAAACAGGCTTTGAGCTCCGCTGTGATCTCCTCTAATCTGAACATTATTCCCGTCCATCCAACAACAAAAAGAGTTAAGAGTAAACTTACTGACTCTTCTGTTAGCTAGCTTGGTGTTGGTGTTTCTGACTGCAGCCACTGATGATGTAAATACTTAATGAATGACATCGGTGTGCGCAATTCTAGCTTTAGTATCTTTATACATGTTGTAAATGCTCCACAATTTACATCTTCAATATATGTTAATTTCCAAGTTATTGCATCATCAGTTGCTAGGCAGAGTTGAGCTGTAACGCAAACCGCTAAGTAAAGAGAGCCTCTGTCCACAGACTGGAGGGATTACATTTCATTCACAACCTCTGTCCATTTCTGTCAACACAATATGCTGAAATGTATCCATGAAATGTGTGAAAATGGAAATTACAGTGACATTTGATGTGAAATTATTCAGAAGTCTTCAGTGTGACCTGTGCTGATGATCGTGATCACCTCCTGCCTGTCAGTGAGATCAAGTTGGACAAAGTTTTAACCAGTGAGATGCTTTTTCTTCTTCAAGCTTCTGTCCTGATTATGCTAGTTGCTAAATTCAATAAAACTTCAATTCATTGTCATTGGTGTGTCTTTATTATGTGCATGCTCCTGAAGGCAACCCAGAGTTTTAAAAATATAATTATAATAACTTACTTTAAAATGTGTTTAGTACAAACCGTATTGTTTTATACAATGTATATGATACAGAACATGTTAGTATATGTGTGTGCACATTTTAGCATGACTTGTTAATCTGTGCATTGAATTCTCAGTTAGCGTTAGTATGTATCGATGTATAAGTCAGCAACCACAAAGATTTGTATGATACACTGTTCAAGATTAATTGAATCATATCAGTCTCTTCATATTCCTGATGTACTTCAACAAATCTTTACTTTAAGAAAACTGCTTCAGTTTAGTTATATCTCGATAAAAAAGGAATATTTAGTTATGGGACTTACCTGATCAGGTTATAGTATGATTAGATTAGATTATGATTAGACTACTTTGTTATGTTATTCCTCTCTCTCTCTCTAAATATATATATATATATTGAGAGAGAGAGAGAGAGAGAGAGAGAGAGAGAGAGAGGAATAACATACAATAATACTCAAACATGATGATCTTATAGAATATGATGCATTGCTGTAGATTAAACTACCAACAGTATATAAAGTAGTTGAAATTAAACATCTACAGCAGTATCATTAATCCAAACACATCAGATATAATAGTAAAACACTGAAAATAAAATAACCCAAACACATTTTGGACAAACTGGACTGAAGAGTAGAAGTAATAACACAAACACAATATACAGCCTTGAACCTGCAACCTGAACTCGCAGTATGGGGATAAACACAAGGTCACCTACAGGGAACATCTGATGGTCACTTGTGACTTTTCCTGCCTCTTTCTGGTATTATAATATAATATACAGTATAATATAATATACAGTGTAATATAATACAGTATAATATAATACAGTATAATATAATATATAGTATAATATAATACAGTATAATATAATATACAGTATAATATAATAGTGTAATATAATACAGTATAATATAATACAGTATAATACAGTATAATATAATACAGTATAATACAGTATAATATAATACAGTATAATATAATACAGTATAATATAATACAGTACAACAGCTCATTGTGGCTCACAGTAGTCCTCAGTTATAATGTAAAATAATAAAGCAGTGTCTCTGGTGGTTCCTTGTTGCAGCTAACTGTAGTGATGTGTTGTTGAAACAGTCTGAGGTTACCAACACAATGTCTATCTAATGGCAGCAGACACAAACATATTACTGACTGAGCACTTTAACTCAATACACACCAACATAAAGCCAATTACCCCCCACACAAAACCCACAACAGTAACAGAGTTACAGAGTTACAGAGCCCCCCCCCACGGCTTAAACTTCATGTGAATCTCTATAAAAATATCAGCAGGGGAGAATATGGACACATCTGCACCAGCTGGTTAATACATTAACTTCACCTTATAAGTTTCATCTTCATCTTTTAACATTTAACAAACAATAACAAACAATCACAAACATTTAACAAACAATAACAAACAATCACAAACATTTAACAAACAATAACAAACAATAACAAACATTTAACAAACAATAACAAACAATCACAAACATTTAACAAACAATAACAAACATTTAACAAACAATAACAAACAATAACAAACATTTAACAAACAATAACAAACATTTAACAAACATTTAACAAACAATAACAAACAATAACAAACAATAACAAACATTTAACAAACAATAACAAACATTTAACAAACAATAACAAACAATAACAAACATTTAACAAACAATAACAAACATTTAACAAACATTAACAAACAATAACAAACAATAACAAACATTTAACAAACAATAACAAACATTTAACAAACATTTAACAAACAATAACAAACAATAACAAACATTTAACAAACATTTAACAAACAATAACAAACAATAACAAACAATAACAAACATTTAACAAACATTAACAAACAATAACAAACAATAACAAACATTTAACAAACAATAACAAACAATAACTACGTTAGCATCACTGAGGCTCCTGCAGCTAACAACAGTTAGCATGTGCTAGCATTACACAAACAATGAAAAACAAAGTATAAATTGTTAAAAATCCTTTTCAGTGACTTCCTCTGCCGTCTCTCCACAGACAGTTGGTGCAATCCCTCTTTCAGGAACAGTCTTTCAGCCAGTCCACTGTTGTTCTGACCGAGGTTGTTCACACACCTTCTGGTTTTTCTGACTCTAGCCGGACATTGCCGTCAAAAATAAAAATAAATCCAGTGGCTCACACATATGTAAATTAGTGTTGGGCTGTGCAGCCAATGACTGAACAGTTGGTCTGCTGAGGCCTTTGCCCAGACATTAGGCTGCAGGCGCTCGCTTGCTTGTTCTCCGCTAGCTTGCTCTTTTATAGTAACAATGGCGGAGCTCTGATAGTCCACAGGAAGTAAAGAGAGGTGGGTGGCAACATGCAGACTAAATGACGTCAAAAAGTCTGACTGTCTGAAACTGAGTGATTTATGCCGGAGTGATTTAGAACGCTCCCGAGGACGTAGCGTTATAAACGACTCCTGAAGTCGTCTGAGCTCAGAGGACCCCGAGTTCAGTTACCAAGATGGCTACTCCGAGCGTCACACAGTAAACATTGAGGTTTTCTACTATTTTAAGCACTTTTGTCTTTGTTGTAACAAATGAAGAAGTCGTACCCACAGCACTGTACACTGTTACCTATAGGCATGTTGCTACAGTCTTATTATGAGTTAAATACGCCTCATTAGTTACTTTGTAGCTTGTGCTGCTGAAAGTGGCTCGAGACGCTCCATGTTGCTATGACAACAATGCCGAGTCTTGAGCAGAAAGCAGAGCAGTAGCCACGGTAACGTTAACGTTAATCAGAACGGGATATTCAGATATCAAACTGTGTGATATGATTGTGTAATATGTAATGAACATGTGAAATCCGCGGTGGGTGCACCGTAAACCAGATAATCACTATAAACGTTACCAAACCTCCAAACTGCCTATTGAACCAAGCTCGTCGTGTTGTGTGCCAAACAGAACGCAAAAACCCGCGGTTATTCATTTTCCAACACGGATGTGACGTCGCTCTCGAGCTGCAAGTCGCGATTACAAGACAAAACGAACGCGGCATTATCTCCTGTGTTCTGACTGAGGCAGCCCACAAAAACATGACTGAGTCTTTTTTTTTCACACTTTGCCTGCTGATAGGCCCTCCAGACTCCCAAATGTACATAATCAAATGATTATAAAGTTGGTTTTGCATAATATGTCCCCTTTAACTGTGTTGGGGGTGTCTGCCTCCAGAACCACAACTGGAAGCTGGTTCCACAGGAGAGGAGCTTGGTAACTGAAGGCTCTGGCTCCTGTTCTACTTTTAGAGACTATAGGAACCACAAGTAGCCCAGCATTCAGAGAACGTAGTGTTCTAGTGGGGTAATAGGGTACTATGAGCTCTTTAAGGGAGCCAATGCAGAGAAGCTAGTACAGGAGAGATGTGATCTCTTTTTCTAGTTCCTGTCAGTACTCGTGCTGCAGCGTTCTGAATTAATTGGAGCGTTTTAATGGACTTATTGGGGCAACCTGATAATAAAGAGTTGCAGTAATCCAGCCTTGAAGTAACAAATGCATGGATTAGTTTTTCTGCATCTGTCTGTGATAGGATGTGTCTAATTTTTGTAATATTACGTAAATGAAAGTATGCAGTCCTGGAGGTCTGCTTTATGTGGGAGTTAAATGACAAATCCTGATCAAAGATAACTCCAAGATTCCTGACAGTGGTGCTAGAGGCCAAGGTAATGCCATCTAGAGTAACTATATCTTTAGACAGTGAGTTTTGGAGGTGAGGTCCCTAAAACATTTTACAAATAAACTTAAATCTACTGTCATCAAGTTTATTTTATTTGTACACCACAAAGAGCCAAACATTACAGCAGTCAAATAAAAATGTAAAAACAGAATAAACAAGAGGCAATCAAACACTGGTACTGTACGTTTGAGCATTCTCAGCTGTCCTGCAGATGCAATTCGAGACCTTGTCAACTCCCTGAATTGTCCAAGCTGACATCTGAGATCCTGCCATCGGTGGAGGGGTGAGTTATGGCTGTGTTTCCCAACCTAAGGGTTGGGACCACTATTAGGGGTCACCAAAGCTTCACAAGAGGTCCTGAGGCCTTCTTGATTTCATGGGGTGAAGGAAAACTTAAAAAATATACAGTCGGTCTATATCTCAGAATTTTATTTTTGTGAAGAAAACAAAATGAAACTGTCAATTTTAAAGTTTAGATCACACTGTAAAAGCAGATAAGTTAATTTAACTCAAAAAATGGAAAGAAATTTGAAAAGGCCAACCGATTGCAACTAACTCATCACCGCTCTCGTCTGTATTTGACGAGCTGGGCATGAGAAGTGTGTGGCATGGCAGTGCAGCTTGTAGGAGAAACTACGGTGGCCGCAAAAAAAGACTGGCTCCCCCTGTAGATGCAAACAGTTCATTCTAAGGTAATTGCAATAAGCGGAATAAAAGGATGCCAAAATAACTACATCATTATCTATTTTTAACGAGAACATTTTTAGTGCCATTTTCTTAGAGTTAGGATAGCTAGAGATGCAGGCGTTATTGTCATCTGTATTCTGCCCCTACTCTGCATCTGACTGGCTCTGACTGGGAAATTACCAACATTACCGAACCAAACAAAGCAACAAAGAACATTAGCCATTTAGAAGCAGAGGGCGGATCTTTGCAGAATTGCCCTGATATTTAGGGGTCCGTAGGCTACTTAGACTCACCCAGAAGTTGTTGTCTGCATTAAAAAGTAAGTGCTCAGTACTGGTGAATACTGGCCCATTTCAGACACTGTTGCTTTCTGAAAGGAGTTTGGAATTTTATAAAGTAGAACTGATAGCTGGAATCAAGTAATATATATAACACATTTTCCAACTTCTTCTCTTCCCTTTATTGGTGTCTTTACATGGACTTTCTTTTTAATTTATTGTATTTATTCACATTTAGTCATTGCTTACAAGAGAGACTTCTTAGACTCAGCAGAGATGTTTGTAATGACTGAATGAAGTCTGAAGCTCTTGCGCTGCCTGTGCTACTGAGGGAGCGTGTGTATAAATGATCAGCATAAAAATACATGTCCTTATCAAAATCATTTATAAAAATAGAAAACAAAATAGGTCCCATCATAGAACCCTGGGGGACACCTTCCGTTATTTCAAGAAAATCTGATATACTGCCCTCTGCATGAACAATAAGATTTGTAAAGTCATTGCTCATGTATGGCTGATGTACGTATCCGTACAGAGGATATGATTTGTTCATTTCCAAGTAATTTACTCACATCAGTAAGCTAGGAAAGGCTACAGCTTACACAGAGACACTGAGGACTTATCATTGTCCAGCCCACAGTGCAACCCAAACCCAGGATAAAGAGGTTCAGTGAATGTGGTGTTGAAGGTGTGGAGGTGGATCAATGTGTCAGAGCAGACTCTGTAGAAAGACAGAGTGCCAGCAGGACAGTCCACATACACTGCTACTCTGTTAGAGACAAAGGGGGAAGGGGAGGAAGAGGAGGAGGAGGAGTAGTGAAGTTTGTTGTTGTGGTAGGCATAGTATCTGTTGAAGCAGTTCAGACTCCAGGACTGATCATTCTGTCCAAACTGAGGGCTGTTTTCTTTCCTTCTCGTTTCTATGTAAGTCACTGCGATAGCGACTTCTCCGCTCCACTTGACCTCCCAGTAACAGCGACCAGTCAGACCATTTCTACACAGCAGCTCACAATTAATATATCTTGGACACTCTGACAATGTCGCCTTCCTGTTGTTGTGAGACAGTTTGAGGTACGAGTTTGCTGTGTTTGGGTCCAGCTCCAAGTCACAGGCGTCTGAAATCAGTATCAGAATCAGACATACTTTAATAATCCCAGGGAGAAATTACTTTCATTACATACTCCATATGTAATAGACATACATATATTAAGAACACACACACATATATATATATACATAGTATAATTTAAAGTCACACTTTCAAATATGCAAAAATGGTAAGTGTAAAGTGGTCACAGGCTTCCTCTTCACCAGAGGCACATAGTAGGATGTTGGGTTTGCAGAGGGAGGGATGTACGACGACGATGATGACGTGCGCAATCTCTCTTGGTAGTTGATATGGACTGGAGTTGGAGTCCAACGGCCAGCAGGTCAACATCCGGGCCACAGAGCTGTTCGCTCTCGGTTCAATACTGGTCCGCCCGGACGGTGTGGAAGCCATCGACGGAGACCTTCTGGTCCATAATGTCCCTGTGCAGCCATGTCTCAGTGAAACACATCAGACTGCACTCCCGGTACTCTGCGTGGCTCCGCGTTATTGCTGTTAGCTCCTTCATTTTGTTGCCTGGAGACCGTACATTCTCCATAACAACAGAGTGGAGACTCTGCTTAAATCTTCTCCTTCTCCATAAGCCCGTCCGACCCTCCTCTCTTCCCCCGATGTTGCTTCCCTCCTCTGCATCCCCGGTGTGTTTTTCTCCAGAGATGTGGTAAATCAGCTGCTCTGTCCACCAAGCTGGCCGGCATAAGCGCGATCGGCTGTTCTCCGGAGTAAACAAGGGCAGCGTGTCCTAGTGGAAGTGGCATTAAAACACGAAAAAAAACCCAAAAAACTCTCTCAAACAACATCGTTAGAGAGGGCAGGACTTCATAGAGTTACGGTGGAAAAATAAGATCGAACCAAGTTAAAAAAAACAGACTGGATTAACGTAACAGGCAGCATGCAGCTTTTCGTGCACGCGCCATGGAATGATGGGTAAGCACTTGAATTTTGAGATCATATTGACTACTAGTTGGTAAGTCCATCACATACATTTATCACAGATATGTTGTCAGTCTCAAAGTAATTTTAGTGCTTTTATGTGTGATTAGATATAAAATAAATGCAAAGACCAAAACAGAGGTAGAGTGATACTCTTTCATTCTGATCATCGAACTCTAAAATAAGACTAATGGTGTTTTAACATCCAGATGAAATGAAAAATGTCAATTTTAACCCTTTAGTCAACTTTCGGCACCGGCGCAAGCAGGATGCTTATCCAGTAGCTCCATACGTGTCGTGTTGTTTTTAATACTTTAAGTGTGTTTTTTTAAACTTTTAACTCAGTATATTACACTAGCTGTGGAGAACTCTATATATCCTATGGATAAAATGACTTTTTACGGACAACATAGCGGTGGACATCTTGGTTATTCAAGGGAGAAGCTGCTTTCACTACAAACAATGGGACGTGCCGGCATTTTCCACCACATATCTGAAGAGCTGATGAGGAGGCACCGAGGCTGCAGAGCCGGAGCGAAGGTGAAGGCTAGGCTAGCGGCTAAGCAGTGGAAGTACAAGCCCTTGGTTCCGTGGATAGTGATGGGGAATGTGAACTGTCTGACCAACAAGACGGACGAGCTGGCTGCCCTTGTGAGGACGTACAGGGAGTGCAGTTTACTTTGCCTCTCTGAAACCTGGCTAACCCAGAAACCCCCGGAGGCTAATGTGGATCTACCTGGATTTACCACAGTGAGAGCGGACCAGGACTGTGGACGCAGGAGCAAAAGCAAAGGAGGGGGACTCACACTGTTTATCAACAACAGATGCAACCAGGGGCATGTTGCTGTGAAGGAGATTGTCTGCAACAGAGACATCGAGTTGCTGGTGGTAGGTCTCAGACCGTACTACATGCCTAGAGAGTTCTCCCACGCCATTGCAGTTGTTGTTTAAGTCCCTCTAAGTAAAGCATGCACGCAAGACTGCGTGTGATGTCATACACTCCACCATCACGAGACTGCAAACACAACATCCGGACGCATTCATCGCCATCTCCGGGGATTTCAACCACGTGACACTGGACTCCACACTGCCAGACTTTCGCCAGTTTGTAAGCTGCCCCACCAGGAAGAACAGGACATTAGACCTCCTGTATGCCAACGTGAGGGAAGCTTCCACTGCCACTCCTTTGCCCCCACTGGGAAAGTCTGACCATAACCTGGTCCTGCTCATGCCACAGTACAAACTGCAGATCCAGACAGAGTCCACGACCAAACGCTCCTTCATGAAATGGTCTCCTGAGGCAGCGGAGGCTCTGAGGGACTGCTTTAAATGTACTGACTGGAGCGTCCTGCAGGAAGCACATGTGAGGACATCGAGGGGGTCACACACTGCACTACAGACTACCTGAACTTCTGCATGGACGTTGTGGTCCCCATCAGAACTGTAGGTTGTTTCCCCAACAACAAGCTCTGGATCACCAGTAATGTCAAGGACATCCTGAACAGGAAGAAGAGGGCATTCAAGGATGGTGACCAAGATGAGCTGAAGCACGTACAGGGGGAACTCGAGGTTCACCTGAGAGAGGCGAAGGAGGACTACAGAAGGAAGGTAGAACAGAAGCTGCATAACAACATGAGTGAGGTCTGGGATCGCATGAAACCATCACAGGCTGCAAGAATAAGGGCAACATCACAGGAAAGGGGGATGCTGGGAGAGCAAACCTCCCCACCACCATCACCAACGATCAGGTGAGCAGAGAGCTGAGCAGGCTTCATCCAAGGAAAGCAGCGGGCCCGGACAGAGTGTGTCCAAGGATGCTTAAAGCCTGTTCTGCTGAACTTGGGGAGCCACTCCAGCATGTCTTCAACCTGAGCCTGCAGCTGGGAAGGGTCCCAGTGCTCTGGAAGACTTCATGTCTCATCCCGGTTCCTAAAACAAAACACCCCAGGGAGCCGGGTGACTTCAGACCGCTAGCACTGACGTCACACATAATGAAGACGTTCGAACGGCTGCTGCTCCATGTCCTCAGACTCCAGATCCACCATGCACAAGATCCACTGCAGTTTGGATACCAGGAGAAGGTGGGCATGGAGGATGCCATCCTCTATCTGCTCCATAGGGCCCACTCTCATCTGGACAAGAAAAGCGGCGCTATGAGAATCACGTTTTTTGATTTCTCCAGCGCCTTCAACACCATCCGGCCGCTCCTGCTGAGAGACAAGCTGGCAGAGATGAGGGTGGACCCACTCCTGGTGACATGGATTATGGACTACCTAACGGAGAGACCACAGTACGTCAGACTGAAGGGCTGCAAGTCAGACACTTAGGTCAGCAGCACCGGAGCACCACAGGGGACCGTGCTCTCTCCCGTCCTTTTCACTGTGTACACATCTGACTTCCAGTACAACTCTGGGCTCTGCCACATGCAGAAATACTCAGCAGCACTGCGATAGTTGGCTGTATCAAGGATGGACGGGAGGGGGAGTACAGGAGCCTGGTCGAGTACTTTGTGAGGTGGTGCAGGTCCAACCATCTGCAGCTGAACACCTCCAAGACCAAGGAGATGGTGGTGGACTTCAGAAGGAGGAAACCACATCTCCAACCCATGTCCATCGAGGGGGGCGATGTGGAGGTGGTTAGGACCTTTAAATATCTGGGGCTGCAGTTGGACGACAAGCTGGACTGGACAGCAAATATCGACACTTTACACAGGAAAGGGCAGAGCCGTCTGTACTTCCTGAGAAGGCTGGGGTCCTTCAACATCTGCAAAAAAATGCTCTTTTATGCTGTGGTTTGCTGAGGAGTAAGCAGCAAGAAAAGAGACGCCGGTCAACTGGACACAGAGCTGGACTCTCTGGTGACAGTGGCAGAAAGAAGGACCCTGGACAAACTGCTGTCCATACTGGACAACACCCACCACCCTCTGCACAACACCTTCACCAGACAGAGGAGTGTGTTCAGTGGCAGACTGCTGTCCCAGTATATGTTTATATTTTATCTTTTATTTTATTTTTAATTTTATTCTTAAGGTCATCTTAAGGTCTATCTATCTATCTATCTATCTATCTATCTATCTATCTATCTATCTATCTTTTAAGATTACCTTTATTGTACCTCTATTTAACAATCTTTGCCAACATTTTTTTACAAAAACTCAATTTCTTTGTATTTTATATCAAAATCCAATCATTGTGTCTTCCTGTAAAACAAAATGTGACGCATGCTTACGTCAGCATGAACAAACTGATTTCAACCAATAATGTCATGACATTCACCCGTCAATCAATCTTAAACTGTTAGCCACACAGAGTAAAGATTTATTAGTTAGCTAACCTCACTGATTTCTAATGGGTCCGCTGCAGCAGCTGGACTCGGGGGACGTGACTCACAGCACTATTCGCTACCGAGACAAGTCCCTCCCTAACTGCCTGTTTTTGCAGGGAATACGTGAATATGAGGAAGGAAACAGATCTCTGATTTCTGTTTCACCTGGACTTTAATACCTGTTTGCTCTGGTCCGAATCAGTTTATGAATTTGTAAACTTTGAGTGTTTTCCTTTGGATCATTTTCTTTTTACACTGATAAAAATCCCAGTGAACCAAAATGCATCGCTACAAACCCTGTGAGAGCGTTCACTCTGGTAATTGGTGAGATATAGCTGGGGCTGGAGCAACGAGGTAAATATAAACAGAAGATAACTGAAGCACACCCCCGGCCCCCTTTTTGAAAATTGGAACCATCTCAAGGGGAATCTGATCCATACCTGGTTCCTTGCTGCTGAGGAGCTCAGCAACTTCTGCCAGGGATATGAGCAAAAGCTCCTGCAAGTCTTCAGACTCAATCCTTCCAGGTTCCTTTGTCGTTGCCCACATGAACATTGAAGTCTGAATTCTCCCAGTAGAACTGTAGAGCTCCAAACAGAATTATTTCCAGGACCCCACGACAGACTCTAAGAAGGCCGGGTACTCTAAGCAGCCATTTGGTACATGTGGAAAGCCTTTCCCACAATAACTCACAGTCGGATAGAAACTACCCTCTTGTTCTCTGGGGAGTAAGTATCTCCAAACCTGCCTGACACCTCACACCCTGGGCAACTCCAGAAAAGAAGACAGTCCAGCCCCTCTCAAGGAGTTTAGTTCCAGAACCAGTGCTATGCCTAGAAGTGAGCCCCACTATATCTAATTGGTTTTGTTAAACCTTCTGTACCAGCTGCAGTTCCTTCCCTGCAAGAGAGGGGACATTCCACATCTCTAGGTCCAGACTTAATGCGTCAGGTAGGTTGCAAAGCATGCCTAATCCTGCATGTGTGGATGATTGTTTGGTTTCTGTTTCCCAAATTTGTTTTTATCTTAACCTCATCATGCTAGCCTCCGCTGTGAGGTATAGATCTTCACTGCACTCTCTGTTTTTATAAATTCCATTTCATGTGAGAAATTAAGTGTATAACTGATTTGTTGTCATGAATCAAACCAAATAAAAACACTTACACTTCCTCAAACCAGGTTTCAGCCTCTGCTCTCCGCCATGTTCCATCCTGGAGAACAAAACACAGTCAGACACCAGTGGTGCAGGGAAGTGACCATTATCATACACAGTAGAGCAGAGCCAAACCTTTTTTATGTTCACGCAACCATCTAAAACCACCTGCCCGCTAGGGCAGCAGTAATACATCACTGCACAGCTAACATCCACTTTTGCCACTACTTAGTTGATAGTACACAGTCCTGAAATTCTTCCTTTCAGGAGAAGCTCTCTATGATTGTATAATGCAATTGTCCCCAGTTGTGTTGGGAAACAACAGCATGTATATAGGAAATTATAAAAAACAAGCTCTTAAAAATATAAGCAATTTGTCATGCTGCTAACACCATTAGAGGCCGTTCAGATGTTGTGTCTAAACATGCATGGAAAACACCACTTTATCCTTTTGTCAAAGACGCTTTGGAGGTTGCACCTGTCTAACGTTAGTAATGTAAAAACAGCGCTTCATCATGCTCACCAGTTACCCCAAGTACTGAGTTTACATACATTTATCTGCAGATATTGTTCTTTCTATTTGTGTCAAAACAAAATGAACTTGATGTTCGTACAGCTCTGGGTATGCCTGGACGAGTATAATCAGCTGCTCCTCAATATTCAGTAGCAACTCCTCAAACAATTCTTGTGGAGCTGATTGGTCCAGTCTTGTCACTTGTCAATGAATGCCGTTTTGAGCGTTCTTGTCCTGCGTCTCCATTCAAAATAATGAATTTGTGCACAAAAGACACAATATCTGTCTAACCCAAAAAGTATCCAGTCTGTTGTCAGCCTGTACCTGAGCGTGTCCAGTCTCCAGTGTGGATCCTCCAGTCGAGCAGACAGCAGCTTCACTCCTGGGTCTCCTGGGTGATTGTAGCTCAGGTCCAGCTCTTTTAGATGGGAGGGGTTGGAACTTAAAGCTGAACCCAAAAAAGCACAGCCTTCCTCTGTGACCATACAGCCCAACAACCTGCATCATCATATAGAAGCAAGCAATTCTCAGGTTTCAATGTCAGTTAACCTTAACTCATTTAATAATAAACTATTCATATCTTCCTAAAATGTATTGATGATAAATCCTAATCATTACATACACTATGACGCTTAAGCAATTTAAGTTTGGTTAAAAGTTTTGTACAGCTACTTGTGTTTTGACAACATTAGAACCGGGGTCTTCATCTACATTTCTCCAAGGGCCAGACACTGTGGGGGCCGAACTGCATAAAAATGGGACGCGGTGAAAATCAGCTTTTCTGTTACCATTTTAACACTTTTTGGGAGGCTAAACATGCCTGATAACTCATGAAACTTTGCACAAAATTCAGTTGTGGCGAAGGCTGAGGTATTGTCTTGGTCCTGTGGATGGGCGTCGCAAAATGGCTTAGCCACGTCCCCCAGAATCAGCCCCCAAGACAAGTATGACTGACATGTATGGAAATTGGTACGCATGTGTTTCATGATGGGACAAGCAAAAAAGCCTCTTGGACCCATAACCCAAACCCAACAGAAAGTCGGCCATTTTGAATTTTGTGGTCATTTACACACGTTGTATTTGAACAATTCCCTCCTAGGGAATTTATCGGATCAACTTCAGATTTAATCAGCGCAATCTAAAGACATTCATGATTAAAAGTTGACTATAACTTGATTGTACATTGTCCATTGGGCTCCAAACTTCACTTGTCTGATAAGAGTCCCGCCCTGCAGTTAAAACGTGTTACGACGGCACGTGATGCGGCCGCAGCATGCCCCGAGTTGCATGGAGTGCAAGGGCCCATTCATTGCTGCATGCTGCTTTAATTATTGTTATTATTATTATTATTATTATCATTATTATTACTGGTAGCATAAAATCTAAACTGTCATGTTGCCTCCAATATCATGAATACTGACCTGAGAGTTTCCAGTGTACAATGTTGACTCTCCAGTCCAGCGGACAGCAGCTTCACTCCTAAATCCTGCAGGTCGTTGTCACTCAGGTCCAGCTCTCTCAGACTAGAGGACTGGGAGCTGAGAACTGAGGACAGAGCTTCACAGCTTTTCTCTGAGAGGTCACAGCAGCTTAACCTGAAGAAGAGGAATGCTGTGTGTTGAGTGATTATGCTGTATCTACAGTGGTCCTCTTTCTTTTAAACTGATCTGAGATGCTGTATTGAGGCGATCTATACAGTGATAATGATATTTTTTTCTGTTCTGAACTTGGCTGTTTAATAAAGTCAACTTTCCGCAGGATGCCCCATGTTACCCAAGTGACAATTCCCTCTTACACAAATACCGTCATATACCCCGGTGAAATCGGTGGAAGGTATGAAAATATTGATACCGCCCAAGTTTACGTGTTTGGTCACTACCGACAGAGATCAATCAGAGTGAATACAACATGAAGCACATCTAAAAAAGACATTACAGCACCCTCAAATGGTAAATGGACCTGTACTGGGGGACTCCTGTCAAGCCTTTGTATCAATAATAATTAATTATCTGTGCACTTACAGAGCTTTCTTGGAGGCTTTGACCACTGGCAGCAGCCTCAAAAGAGCCTCCTCTGAACCAGAGTATTTCTTCAGGTCAAACACGTCCAGATCTTTTTCTGATGACAGTATGATGAAGACCAGAGCTGACCACTGAGCAGGAGACAGTTTATTTGTGGAGAGACTTCCTGAAGTCAGGTACTGTTGGATCTCCTCCACTGGAGAATAATAATTCAGTTCATTCAGACAATGTAACAGATTGATGCTTCTCTCTGGAGATGCATTCTTCCTAATCTTCTTCTTGATGTACTCAATTGTTTTCTGGTTGGTCTTTGAGTGCCTTCTCACCTGTGTCAGTTGTAGGAGAGTCTGATTGGTATGCAGTGAAAGACCCAGGAGGAAGCGGAGGAACAAGTCCAGGTGTCCATTTGGACTCTTTAAGGCCTTGTTCACAGCACTTTTGTGGACATTTGTTGTGGAGGTTTTGCTGAAACACATCAGCAGACTTTGGACTGTCAACCGTGATGTCTGCATTACATTTCTGTTGCAGTCGATGTGCGATATGGTCACATGAAATGCAGCCAGAAACTCCTGAATGCTCAATTGAGTAAAGCAAAACATCATCTTCTGGTCGTCTTCCATTTTCTGGCTACACAGGGGTTTGAAGATCTTTGTGAATACTTCTGAGTACTTTGAGGCTGCTCTGATATGGATTCCGCTGTGTTTCAGGTCTTCCTCATCGAAGACTGTGTTGCTCTTCATTAGCTGGTGAAAAGCTAGTTTCGCCAATGACTGAATATACTGAATGCACTTTTCTGGGCCATACTTCCATTTAGTCTTGTTGATCTGAACCACCAGGAAGTGGATGTACATCTCAGTCAGGGTCTTGGGCAGCTGTCCTCCCTCTCTGGTCTTCAACACATCCTCCAGAACTGTAGCAGTGATCCAGCAGAAGACTGGGATGTGGCACATGAAGTGGATGCTTTGTGATGTCTTGATGTGGGAGATGATTCTGCTGGCCTGCTCCTCATCTCTGAACCTCTTCCTGAAGTACTCCACCTTCTGTGGGTCAGTGAACCCTCTGACCTCTGTCACCATGTCAACACACTCAGGAGGGATCTGATTGGCTGCTGCAGGTCGTGAGGTTATCCAGAGGCGAGCAGAGGGAAGCAGTTTCCCTCTGATGAGGTTTGTCACTAGCACATCCACTGAGGCTGACTTTGTCACATCATGAAAGCTTTTTGTTTCGCCTACGAGGTCTAGTTGAAGGTGGCTCTCATCCAGTCCGTCAAACACGAACAGAAGTTTGAATTTACTTTGGTCAAAGCTGGAGTTTCTTGGGTTCTGTAAAGTTGTGAAGATGTCATTAAGAGTCTCCTCTTCAATTAAGTTGGTTTCTGGGATACATGTGTGAATTAACTCTGCCAAACGAAACCTTTGTCTGCTCCACAGATTTAGCTGCCGTACAGAGAAGGGGAATACGAGATGCAAATCTTGATTGGCTCTTTTTTCAGCCCAGTCCAACAAAAACGTCTGCACGAGGACTGATTTGCCAATTCCTGCAATCCCATTGGTCAGAACTGTTCTTATATGTGTGCTTCTTGTGGAAGCGTGTTTGAAGATGTCGCTGGGGTTAATTGGACTTTCTGTTTCTCTTTGTGTTCCTGAAGCCATCTCGAGCTTGGTGTGTATGTGTGTGATGAACAGCTCAGGGTTCATATCATGTGAAAGCTCCTCGTGTTGCTTCTCTATCCACCCTCCCTGTGCACACTTGAACATGTTCTGGAGGTCCGACTGCAATGTGAGCGGGTCTGATGTGTTGGGTTGTGGAAGCTGTAGGACCGGCACCATTACATCTGTGAACAACAAAGTAACATGTATACAAATTTTGAAAGAGTCCGTTATCAGCATCTTTTTGAGCTGTCGGCACTAAACAGACTTTTTCTTGTTTTTTGATTGATAGATTTTAATTTTATATTTATGGATTTACAAAACTCCTGTAGATTTGCAAGATTCCCTTGAAAACGAAGGTGGTGCACTGTAGATTGTTTCTTGTAAGGAACTCTACCAGGAACCATTCATTCAAAGCAGACAACAACTTTACCTTCAGTCAGCCTGCTGACAGCTGGGAGGTCAGAGAGAAGTACAGATGAAGCTGTTGTGTCCTCTGAAGTCTCTCCAACATCCTCGACTTCCACTGACAGAGTAACAAACAGCTCACATTATACTTATTATATACTTATACTATATACTTATACTTAGACTCAGTTTGGCTATATTCGTAATTAACTGATTTACTATTTTGTCAGAAAATAGTGATAAATGTCCACATATGGTGGAAGCGTGGATCGACAAACAAACACAGGACTTTAATCTAATTGAGTGCTGCTGGTTTCCCGTGTGAGGTCAACCAAAATGCGGCCATTTCATGTTACTTTATGCCTCAGTGGTATAGGAAGTAAAACATGACATATTGTTACCTGTGGGCAAATGACTGAGTGGAGTTGGGACGTTTCCTGTTGCATCCTGGGATATTTGCTGGCCTCTGTTCTGGACTCCCTCGTCTTTGCTGTGTATTTTATCCTCCTCTTCTGTCTCTTTTCCTTCTGTAGCTCCTGTTCTCTCCTCCTCCTCTCTACTGTCTGACCCGTCTGTAATAACGGTACCTTCGGGTCCTGGACTGCTGGGGTTTGACAAACTCTCCACCAGATCGTTCCTCCTCATCTTCTTTAAAACCTTCTTGTCCACCTCCACATACTGATGGTTGTAGGTCTGCACCATCAAATCCACGGTGTCCGGCCTGTCGGCGTTCTCCAGTCGGCTCTTTGGGATTGGCGGGAAGTCCTTCAGGAAGTCGGACAAATGACTGTGTGGAGTTGGGATGTTTCCTGTTGCATCCTGGGATATTTGCTGCCCTCTGTTCTGGACTCCCTCGTCTTTACTGTGCATTTTATCTTCCTCTTCTGTCTCCTTTCCTTCTGTAGCTCCTGTTCTCTCCTCCTCCTCTCTCCTGTCCGACCCGTTTCTAATAACTGTATCAATAAAGACAGAAACTCTCAGTTCCCTGACAAATAAATGTGTCTCCATTAAGATGAGAGTCACATCAGAGATACCTTTATCATAATTACTATATAATGGGAAATCCACAACACATAATACAATGGCTGTTTAGTTTTGGGTTTGTCTCCCCTAAACTTACAAAGTTTATATTCATGCTCATTGCCAAGAGACGTCAGGGTTAAAGATCTCCTCCAGACATGTATTAAAAGAGTGGTTCCCAACCAGGGGGTCGGGACTAGGAGTCCCCAAAGTTTCATTGGGGGTCACAAGGCCTTCTTGATTGTAAGGGGTTTAAGAAAAACTTTAAAAATATACACAGTAGGCCAATATGTCAGCATTTGGTTCACTTCTGTGAAGAACAGTAATTTTAAATTATCCAATAGAACAATGACCAAGCATCAGGGACAAGAAAACACTGAATCTGTCAAAAAAAAAAAAGCCTATTAAGTCTGTATGATTTTTAAAACTATAGACAAACACAAACAGTCTGATTGGAACAATAAAGGAGTTGCTGATGCACCGCCGCCTCCATCAATCTGGTCGGCTTCTCCACACTGGGGCTGTGCCGACTGTGTAACAAACTGACTGTGGACGACAGTGGAAAAAGGCTGACTACTCATAGTAACTGAGTAAACTTTCATTATCTGACTGCAATTGATATGAAGCGCAAACCCCACCTCAGTGGTACAAGAAGTAAAGCATGACAACATATCGTTACCTGTGGACAAATGACTGAGTGGAGTTAGGATGTTTTCTGTTGCATCTTGGAATATTTGCTGGCCTCTGCTCTGGACTCCCTCGTCTTTACTGTGTATTTTATCTTCCTCTTCTGTCTCCTTTCCTTCTGTAGCTCCTGTTCTCTCCTCCTCCTCTCTCCTGTCCGACCCGTCTGTAATAACGGTAACTTCGGGTCCTGGACTGCTGGGGTTTGACAAACTCTCCACCAGATCGTTCCTCCTCATCTTCTTTAAAACCTTCTTGGCCACCTCCACACACTGATGGCTGTAGGTCTGCACCATCAGATCCACGGTGTCCGGTCTGTCTGCTTTCTCCAGTCGGCTCTTTGGGATTGGCGGGAAGTCCTTCAGGAAGTCGGCCTGCTGCAGGTACCACTTAAAATTTTTTAGCTCTCGATCTCCCAAATCCTCCAAAGTTTCCAGCAGCTCTATCGCTGTTGCCATTGTTCCTCCGTGCTGAAACCAGAGGAAATCTTCCGCTCCAAGGACAATAAAGGATTTCAGTTCATTGCTTCAGTACCTGTTGGTTTAGATACACTGTAAAAATACCCAAACATTTATTCAACATTTTTGTTGTGAAAACCTCCATAATTATACAAGATATCTGTCAATTAACAAACAAATCCATGTAAAATTACACAATACCCTTTCTACTGTCACTAATTTTACATACATTTAGAAATTAAACTTATTAAACTTGAATTTAACTTAATTTTTTTAATAAACAATAAATATCTGCAAAAAAATTATGGATTTGCAAATGTATTTAAAAATGTATGTTGAAAACAATGACATTTTCTTAAAATAAACAGTAATTTTATGAATATTTACAGTTATTTTACATTAAACATGTAAATTCATGTTCATTTAAAAAAAACAGTGAAATAAAAAGGAACAACCCTTTCAACACACAGATTATTCTTTTACAATGTACGTGGCAATAAGCTATACACATGAGGTTGCAGTTGATATATAGACTCCTGACAGCAGACATGAACCTGTAACAGAAAGGCCCGATTATATAAAAATAACGAGCCAGCACTACGCTGTACACACTGACAGCACCTGCCAGCTTTCTACTGAAATGTAAATTATCATAACGGTCTGCTTGAGTGAGCTTCCTGTTTTCTGTGGCTGCTCACCATCTTCTTCCTGTTACACCAGCGGGTGTGATGCCACTGGAGACACATTTCTATGTGTTCTTTATGGTGAGGTTGCTTCCAGATTCAGGTGTAATTATAATTCATATTATTTCAGTTTAATCTAACGCTGTAAAATCACACCACTGATAAACAGTTGATACCACAAATTAAATTAATGACGAGAGACACTACTTCCTAAAAACATAAAACACATCAAAGCACAAATCAAATACATAAATTAATGTTATAAATTATGGGACTGTAGGGGTGTCGGGTAGCTCACCTGGCAGAACAGTATACCACCTATAGAGGCCAGCCTGTCATCCCCTCTCTCTCTCTCTCTCTCGCTCTCTCTCTCTCTCTCTCTGCAGCTGTCTATAGACATAAAGCAGAAATGCCAAAAAATCATCTGTAATAATAAAAATACTGCTGGTCTGTTTTCCTGCTGTGTCTGCAGACATTACTGGAGTAAACTAACTGTTGAAGGATCATAAAATATTAGTCGTACCTGTTTGTGACAGATGGATGCTGTGACTGCAGATGTTTTCTGATCCGCTGCATATTCTTTCAGGAAGTTATCACATCAGTGTAACCACATCCGTCTGCTGAAGCAATCAGGCTAGTTGAATATTACATTTGTTATTAACATTTGGAACCATGGTAGAGTCTCCACTAGAAATGATTTTTGTAATTCAAACAGTATCAATGATCAAAGGTCTGTCACATATTCATATTTAATGTGAGATGTTTATATTAAAGGAGCTGTGTTAGGGACATGGGAATGAGAACAGAGAATATTTCCCATGTCAGCCTAGCATAGTAGGGAAAGAGATATTTTGGTAGGCTTGCTATCTGGCCTGTGCCACATTTGTCAGTGAATGAACGATCCACTTTCTTCCATGCTGCTTCCTCCTGGTGAGTCAGTCAGGGCAACACATTGAATTGTCCGTCCTTGTTTGCCATTTGCAGCGCTGGCATTGCCCTAAGAGATAGAAGGAAAGTTGTTAGTGCGTGCTTCACATTTGCAGATAGCAATTTGTTTTGGTAACAACACAGCATCAAGGGTGTGATGCGCAATAGGTTTACTTGTGGATGTTAGGAATTTTCCCCCACACTTATCTGCTGTCTGTTAAAAATGTTCACAGTTTTGTCTTTTGCATATTTACATTCTTCTGTCAGTGTGACTAACAGATTTGTTTCCTTGGAGTAGTTCTGCCATTATTGTGTCATACGAGGATGTGATTGCAAAAGCTGCCAGATTTTTACCAGTTGCTGGGTTTCTTGAGGCTGAGTCGTCCACAAACAGTTCCAGATCGGCATTTTCTCAAGTTTTGTTCAGAGGTAGGCTACAGGTCTCTGTCGTCCCCCATGGTCCTGCATCAGTACTGAGGTCATGTAACCTGCCGTTCGTCAACAGTCTGTGTGAATGGTTTAAAGACTGGTGTGAAGGCTCTGCTTCCTTTTAGAGGATATTGAGTTTGGCCTGTATGAGGATGTTTTGGTGTTATTACAACAGGCTTTAATCAAACCTACATCATACTTATTTTGCATGATTGCACCTGACTTAGTTCAGGAATTTTAGAGACGTCTTTCACTGATAAAAGACAGTAGAAATTAAGGCGGAAATTAAGTTGGGCTGTGCATGTTGCATGGTCGTTTAAAGAACTCTGAGTCGCTTCAAAATCTGGAGGTTTTGTTATCTCATTTGACTGTTGAAAAGCGTGCAGAGTCGGCTGAACTGATTAAAAGCTACCCGTCCTTATTTGGAGATACTCCTTCAAGAACAAATCTGATAGAAAATGAAATTGACGTCGGTGACGCTAAACCAATTCGTCAAAGGTTCTATAGAGTCTCTGAGGAGAAGAGAAAAATAATTGACAGTGAAGTTGAGTACATGCTTGATAATCATATTGCTGTGCCTTCTTCCTCTAGTTGGGCTTCGCCATGTTTGCTTGTTGAAAAATCTGATAAGTCCCCGCGATGCTGTACATATTTCTGAAAGGTAAATGCGGTAACCAAACCTGATTCCTATCCATTGCCTCGGGTCGAGGACTGCATTGACCAAGTTGGTGCAGCCACATATGTGAGTAAATTCGATCTACTGAAAGGGTCCTGGCAGGTGCCATTGACCCCAAGAGCTCAAGAAATAGCTGCATTCATAACACCATCTGGTTTGTTCTCTTATACAGTCATGGGTTTTGGCTTGTGTAACGCACCAGCTACATTTCAACGCCTCATGAATAAGGTTATTCGAGGACTTGTTGGTTGTGCTGTATATTTGGATGATGTGGTGATATACAGTAATACTTGGGAGGATCATCTAAGTTGCATTCAGGCTTTGTTTGAACGACTGGCAGATGGAAATTTAACTGTAAACTTAGCAAAATGTGAGTTTGCAAAAGCTACTATGACATATCTTGGTAAGGTCATGGGTCAGGGTCATGTGCGGTCTGTTTCTGCCAAAGTTTCCTGCACCCACTACTAAGAAGGAACTAATGAGGTTTCTGGGTTTGGTGGGTTATTACCGTTCTTTTTGCTGCAACTTCTCAACTGTCGTGGCTCCTTTGACTGACTTGTTGAAAACGAAAGCAAAATTGATTTGGTCTACCTCATGTCAGAAAGCTTTCTGTGATGTTAAAGCTTTGTTGTGTTCTGCTTCAGTTCTGTTAGCTCCCTGCTTGGATCAGCCTTTCAAGCTTCATGTGGATGCAAGCCATGTTGGAGCAGGTGCTGTACTCCTTCAAGCAGACAAGCACGGTATTGAACGTCCTGTTAGCTTCTTTTCTAAGAAGTTCAACTCCTACCAGCTGAACTATTCTGTGATAGAAAAGGAAGCATTGGCTTTGATTTTGGCTTTGCAGCACTTCCATGTCTATCTCGACTACGGGATGCCAGTTGTTGTACTTACTGACCATAATCCACTAACTTTTTTGAACTCTCTGCAGAACCCAAATCAGAGGTTCATACGGTGGGATTTGTTCTTGCAGCCTTACAACTTGGATATTCGCCATATTAAGGGAAAAGATAATATTATGGCCGATGGTTTGTCTCGTGCACCTTATAAGTTTTCATAACTTAACATGTCTTTTACATTGTCCTCTGCAGCTCTGTTTCCTTTCCTCTTAAATTGCTCCTAGGCGCCAAGGTTGCTGAGGTTGGAGATGAGTCTGGAGAGGGGAGGAGTATCAATTTGTGTAGAAGGTGTGTTCTGTAATAACTTTACATTAAGTGAAGCACATTTGATCTAACATATACTGAAGTTGTCCAGTTTGCTTACGAAATGAATGCACGTTGTTAGGTTCAGGGTAGGAACCCTGTCTTATGGGGGGGAGTGTGACGGCCCTAGGGATGGCCTTATTCTGTTCCTCTTGCTTGGTTGTTTACTCTTTGATTCAGGAAGTAAGGGGTGGAGCTGAGATTACTCTCTGATGCAGCTCACCTGAGCAGGCTGGGCTCAGGAGGCTATCAATCACACCTGCAAGGCTTTCTCACTCTCTTCCCTTGGCCTGCTAACTGAACTGTTGGTTTTTGTTTGTGTTCTGGGTTTTACATTCATACATATACACCTCACCCTTCACTCACAGACATTGCAGACATACTGAGTTACTGATAGACATATTAAACTGTATTGATTATTTTGGTATTTACTTAATTAAATTGTGTTAACACTTCACAGACTGTGTGGTCTCCGTCTTTGTCACACTCTTTTGAGCCAGGTTGTGACAATACAAACATATACTTATGTACTCAGATACTTTCCAATCTGCTTTCAACACTTTTCCTTTTTTCATCTGCTGAAAGTGGAGAGTTTCTCTGTGCTCACTGAACATCTGATTTGGTTTAAGCCAGTGTTCCTCCCACTAGGGGTCGCCAAAGTTTCATGGCTGAGGACTTCTTAAATTAAAGAGGTGAAAGAAAATGTAAAAATACACACACAGATATCTCAGCACTGTGTTCATTTCTGTGAAGAAAAAGTAAAAACAAGTGTATATTACTCAGTCAGAGATAAAGGGGTCCCTTAAGGAAAAAGGTTGGGAACTTCTGATTTAATAGGTTATTTGTTCGAGACGCTGAGCTGATCAAGTTGTGTTTTATGTTCAGGTGTGACGGTTGATGGCTGACAGCACGCTGAAATGGACTTTAGTCATAATTAAATGAAAACTGGTCTATTGTTTTAGCTGTTTGGCTACGGTGATATGTTTTATTTATTTCAAAGTGGTCTACTTTTTATTTTGTTAATTTTCCACAAATATGAGGAGGATACAAATAAACCTGCACGTTTCTGTGTTTAATTTATTTCAATGTGGACTACACTGTAAAAAATGTTGATTTTGTAGATTTTATGGTGAAAACTGTTAAACCATGACAGTAAAAAAATATAAATGCTAAATAGGTTAAAGTTTCTGTAACAGTAAAACACTGTGATATCTCATGGCAAAATCTTTATTTATATGACATTTTAAAGGAATTCATACGGAATAAAGTCGTTTTTTATATTAAAGACTGTAAACTGCACAGAATATCACCATCAGAGCATCATACGGTACTTTTTACGATAGTTTCTTTTAATGGTAAAAACTTGTGTATATGAAATATGGATTAAAACTTAAAATCAACATACTAATATCCTTATACTGTAATGGTAGGGGGAAAAAAGCAAGTTCTGGCAACAACAGCTGACAGTGAAAACAACAATTATTTTAATCCTTTTCCACAAATATGAGGAGGACTCAAATACACCTGTACAGTTCTGTGTTTAATTCAAGTAGACCTACACATGTTAGTGTATGTTTGGTGTTTTCCTTTGTTATAACAGGTAAAAACAGCAATAAAATGTCAACAATTTTCTTTATTATCATTCTGTAATTTCATAAATGCAACAAACTAAAGTTTAACAGTATAACTATATATCGTGATTTCAAATATATTTTGTGGCTCCAGATGAATTTTAATTGGAGGAAGAGGGTGGCGGACCCCTGTATGAGCAGAACACAAGTTAAAGTACAAATACTTTTTTACTTAAATACTCAAGTACTGATACTTGAAAAACTAACTTTTAATTTTTCTGACAACTTCCTACATTTGTACACAAATATCTGAACTTTCTACTGCTTACACTTTCAAAACAGGCTCTCAGCTTTAGTTTAAATGCATTTGAGGGGAGTTATGGATTATTATTAGAGAGTACTATTTACTTTTACTTGAGTAAAGAAGTTAAATCACTATCAGAATAAGAACAACTGTAAACAAAAGGATACGTACTTTATTAAACCCTGTGTGTTTTTATTGGCCTTCTCTCTTTGTGTATTTTATTGCTCTTTATATCACTGCTATATCTGTAAAGTCACTAATGCTTTTGTTTTTAACAATAATAAGGGATATTGAGCAACCAGTCGTGGTTGGTGTGACAGAGAATATGTAATGCTGTTGGATGCACATACATTTTTTCATTAGCTCAAAGATAAATGTGACATAAATCATCTGTTCTCTTCCTGAGGATTATGTTTCTGTGGATGGTTCTGGTTTACAGTTGTTGCACAGTTGGCTCATTGTGACAAACTCCACACACAAAATCTCGCTTCTGTGTCAGAATGAAACCTAAAACACACTCAGAACATCTGCTCACATTTCAGTCAACACACAAATAGAAGACAATTATACAACTTTGCAGGTTTTTACCAAACTTATGGGAACAGAAATAATGACAGTAAATAAAACTAGTGTTGTAATGCGTTGTAAGGGACGGGTGGATGCTTTATGGATCTTCTGTTAGAACACAGTCGGTATCCTCCCTGGTTGGACCACCAGTGATCCTCCTCAATGTCTCAGATGTGTATGACTCTTTCCGACACCAAGCAGAAAGAATTCCTCAATCAGACTGAGGAACTGAGAGTAAGGTGGACTGTGGAGTCACAGTATTGTGGTTGGTGGACCAGTCCCAGACCAGAGACTGCAGTAGCATTATCCCAGATCACAACAGTCCTGGACTGCTCTGGTCTGGCCTTTGTCCTTGTCCTCCTCCTCTCTCTTCCTCTCACTCTCACTACCTCCATGTTTGTAAAGTTGTCACAGAGGTGACCTGACCTCAGGTTGTTTGTAGTGTTAAGGCTCAGACTGAGTGGTGTTCAACATGTGTAATGTTTACTTGTTTACTTGTGTTTCCCAGTGATAGCACAGATTTCATTCTTGAACAAAGAGTCTAAATGTCAGAAACAGTGTGCAGTGTTTTACAAAAGGATGGTTCAATTCAATTCAATTCAATTTTATTTGTATAGCACCAATTCATAACAGAAGTTATCTCAGGACACTTTTCAAATAGAGCAGGTCTAGACCGAACTTGGAGAGTCAGAGCCGGTCCTGATCCCCCTGGGGCCCTAAGCTCAAACCTGACCCTCCAATAAGCTAAGCTTCATGGCAGCTTTTATAAAAAACTTTGATGCATGTTAAAAAAATGTTGGCATTTTTTTTCAAAGACATTGGGTTAGATGGTGAAATTGTAAAAAGTTTACTCAGGTGTCACTTAGATGTTGTTAGTTTCACCCATTAATTCAAAGTGTCCTCTGACTTACTTCTTTCAGACTTGATCTCAGTTTTCTGCTCTCTGGTTGGAGGATCAGAAGGACACAGAGACCTCCATCATGGCTATCGCTGACCAGCTGCTGGAGCTGATGTTCTCCTGGATTGAGCAGAGGGAATTTTAAAAAAATTAAATATTTGTTTGATAAAGGAGCCAAACATCTGATCAAACAAATGTCCAAAACTGGATTTAAAGGAGGAGACATGGTAAGATCCAGTAACTACATATGTGTTGTTTGATAATTACACAGAAAATATTTCTCAATAATTGGTTTATTGTTTTTATGATTTTGATAAAGGGACACGTGTTTTGAGGCTGACAGTCTGATAATATTGAAAATGAATCATGTATTGATCCATATTCATCATCAGGTTGTAGGAGGAGCTCTTCTTCCTGAGGCGATTGACAACTGGAAAGACCTGATCAAGGATAATCATGTGACTGAAGCCAGCCAGATGTGAAAAAAAATGACTCAGTCATGTTTTTGTGGGCCGCCTCAGTCAGAATATAGGAGACAAATCACACAGGTTCAAAAGTGTGTAGTTTGTGATGTCACATGCTCTGCCTGTTGCCACCCACCTCTCTTTACTTCCTGTTGACTATCGGAGCTCCGCCATTGTTACTATAAAAGGCAAGCTAGCGGAGAACAAGCGAGTCTAATGTCTGATGTCTAATGTCTGATGTCTAATGTCTGATGTCTAATGTCTGATGTCTGATGTCTGGGCAAAGGCCTCAGCAGACAAACTGTTCAGTCATTGGCTGCACAGCCCAACACTAATTTACATATGTACATTTATGTAAGTTTATGTAAATTATTTTTTACGGCAATGTCCGACTAGAGTCAGAAAAACCAGAATGTGTGTGAACCTTCGTGTCGGACTGTTTTCACAACCTCGGTCAGAACAACAGTGGACTGACTGAAAGACTGTTCCTGAAAGAGGGATTGTACCAACTGTCTGTGGAGAGACGGCAGAGGAAGTCACTGGAAGGATTTTTAACAATTTATACTTTGTTTTTCATTGTTTGTGTAATGCTAGCACATGTTAACTGTTGTTAGCT